CCATTATAAATATCGCATTCTACTTTTTTTTTTTTTTTGAGACCGGTTCTAACAATGTAGCCCAGGCCGGTTTCAAACACAAGCCAATCTTCCTGCCTTAGCCTCCCAGCACTCCCAGCACACAGGTGTGCACTGCCACACCCAGGTTAAAATCATCACATTCTAGGGCCTCAAAGTTGGCTGAAGAGAAGGTAGGATGGACACTCTTCAGGACCAAGCCCCAAAAGACTGCCCTAGCTCTCCAATAGGGACAAAAAGAAGTCTGCAGATTTGTCCAACGACCACCGGTGCCTTCCAACCACACTCTTCCACAGCACGACCCACCATGCCTTCAGGTGCTGCAGGATAGCACAGTCACAAGAAAGAAGCCAACTTGCTCACTCTGGGCTGACTTGCGAGCTTCTGGATTGGAGATGACACTGGTGCCTCAGTTTCCTGGGTAGAATACATGTTTCCTTTGAAGGAGCTGCTTCCTGCTCCCTGTTAGAGATGGAGGGAGAAGAGACTCTCTCTCCGCAGTTAGGGTGGCTCTGGGTCCTTCCCTGGGGAACTATAAACTCCCCTCCACCTATGAATTAGCTAGCGGTTTTATTGTGCCATCATTTTATGCTCAGTGTTGCAGACATCACCATCAGATGCTGAAAAACACCATTGAAAGTTGCAGAGGTGACAGAATTTGCCTAGACTGGCACCTCCCAGCAGCACTGCTGGCTACAAAGCAGAATTGCCTTCAAGGGAGTTTGGTTTCATTGCCGAAGTGATGTTGCATGGAGATTACTGAGCTTTTAGTACTACTTTGCTCACCATTTAAATTTAGCTCAAGACCACTGTGTGTTCAAAATGCAGTGCAGAGCTGAGTCTTTATTTCTAAGAGCAGTTGCAGACACTAATTTAGATTTATGGAGAAAGACAATGGCCTGTGGCCACCGATGTAGAGCAGCTGGGAGCCTGGGTATTGAGATGGCCCCTGCCTGCCTTGCAGCTGGGATGGGGTTTCCTTTTCCTCCTTCAATTCTTGGATTTTTGTTTCTGCCAGAAAGTTTGGAAAACTAAAACACAGGTCAGCTCTTCCCACAAGGGAAGGGAGTCCTGAAATTCAGAATCAGTCTTTGCTTCTGAAGCTAGGTGTGGAGTGGTTTCTGGAAGCTGGTGGCAACTGTCCCTTCATCCTGGCCCGGAGGACTCACAGACTGGACTCGGGCAGACAAGAAGAGTGGCAGATGCAGACACAGGTTTTGATTGCAAGACGTCACAGAGGCTCTGTGCATAGTGGACACGCAACTCGTCAAGCCTAGCTCCCTCCTTCCGGTATTGTGCTTAGATTTTCTTCTTCTGTCTCTCTCTACCCCTCTTTCTCTCCCTCAGCAGCACTGAGTAAATATGCTCAGGTTCACATACCACAGCCCACATACCGAGGGCAATGGGTATTATGTGGTCAAAACAGTTGGTGTTGAAGTGATCCAGGCATGATGGTGCATGTCTGTAATCTCAGCACTCAGGAGGCTGAGGCAGGAGGACTATGAGACTTCAACAAGGTCAGTCTGGGATACAGAGTGAGACCCTGTCTCAAAAACAAGCAAACAAAAAACCAGTCAATCAACCTAATAAAACCTGAAGTGAATTTTTTTTTTTTTTCTTTTTGAGACAGGATCTCTCTATGCAGTTCAGGCTGGCCTTGAGCTCACTTTGTAGCCCAGGCTGGCTCCGAACTCACATTGATCCTCCTGCCTCAGCCTCCTGAGTGCTGGGGTTACAGGTGTGTGCCACCACGCCTGGTGAAGTGAAATGATCGAACTGTTCACAATTCTGGTTTTCCTGGAGACTACAAATACGCTTGTGTTAGAATTAACTGTCGGAGTGAGGATTTCAGACGCTCTGCCCTGGAACACAGAGTGATGCCACCATTGCAGCAGTGGGCTCCTTACAAAGGGGTGCACTTGGCCCTCTTTTCTCTGTCCCTTTTCTTGTCCTTCCACCATCTCCCATGGACGACATGGCAGGAAGCTCCTGCCAGGTGCATATCTGTCGACCTTACGCTTCAGCTCAGATCTTGAACCAGCATATTTCTGTGACTTAGTCTGCCCATCTCAAGAGTGTTTGAATAACACCCTCCAGGGTGGGAATAGCAGGGCCAGCACTCCCAGTGCAGAGCCAGGGCGTGTGTGCACTGTCATTTCCTGGGGCTCCGTGATCACAGCTTCACTGTGCTGAGGCCAGGTCTTCCTCACTTTCTGTTGTTGTAGACTTTTCTTCTCCCTCCTCTGCTCAAGCATAGGTTCCTGGTTGATGCAGCAACGCAGGACAACATGTCACCCTCCCTTGTCAGTGTCTGGTGTAAGGCCAGCAGGGCATCCTGCTTTAAATGTCCTGACCCAGGGGATTTGCTGAGCTCCATGGTGCAAGTACTCCAACCATGGCAGCATCTGAGCGCTCAGTGCCAGTGCTTGGTGAGGAGTCGGGAGGAGATGGGCCCACTGGGCACTGCTGACTGGTCCAAGCCAGTCCTAGCACAGTGCTGGAGGGATGCTGAGTACTTGGAACACAGTCTGGGCCACTCATATGTAATGTTACCTCTCATTATGGCCATTGGGATGACTAGTGTGCTTTCTCTCTCTTCCTCTTCCTTATGTGTGTTTGTTTGTATGCATGCAGCCATTGATTTACTGGAAAACTAGAAGAAAAAAAGAGTTTCAATTGTAGCATTTGCCAATTCCCATGAAAATACCCCTGTACTAGGTGATTTCAAGCCACCAGTGGTTTCACACTTGTTTTGCAAAATTCCTGAATATGAAAACAACCTGCCATGGAAGCTGGTAGAAAACTTCTGCAGTACAAATACTGTAAGACTCGGTTCCCAGGAATGTCTCTGTTGTCCCCAGGACTTGGTTTGTTCATCAACATGGGAAAGCTGGTTGTGGTTTCTAGATTCTGCAGGAGTGAAGTTCTTTCCTGCTGAGTAATAACCTCTGAATGTTTTCTGTATCTGCCTCTCAGTGCTTTTCTTCTGTACTTGATTAACATCACTTTCCAATTTCCAAAAATATTTCAGAACAAAATCTTGTATGACAAAACTCATCTGAAATTTCCTAGAAAGCCTTATGAATTTAGGCTGGTACTTAGGTCTTACATTAAGACCTACAAATGTAGAATTTGACTCATTTTTCTGGCTTCTTTTCTTTGAGTGCTGGGACAGACCCAGGACCTGTGCATGCCAAGCACAGACTCCGCTGTGAGCTGCAGTCCGAGCTCTACTTCAGCTCTTTAATTCTTAAGCCATGTAACTTTGAGACAAAGCCCAAGTCATGGATGACACAGTCCTCAGGCCAAGGATGAGAAATACTGCACAGGATGTCTGTGAAAGATGTGAAAGGCTGATAGCCACTGTGCACGCGTAAGTGGAAGGCATGTTCTTGCTATCACTATGGCACTAATTCCATATCTGCCCTTGCTGGAAGCCATGGTGAGATGGAGAGTTGGGGTTTTGAGTGTCAGAAAATTGGATGAAGGAAGAGATCCTAAGGTTAGGGCAGTTCAGAGAGAAATGGGGACTAGCGAACTAGAGGTCTGGATAGACAAACAGGCATGGAGGAGATACATAGGCAGAGAAAATGGGTGCTAAAGTGACAAGCAGGGGGAGAGAATCAGGAGTATTCCCTGTCCACCATATGCCAGACCCCATGCTTGATACTAGATCTGTAAGAAATAGAGGCTCTGGGGTCAAGTGAGGGTAGAAAGAAGACGTATATGTCCAGAGTCTCCTTTCAAAAGCAAGGGCTTGGGAAGAGTGCAAGTTAAACTTTGTTGGGTAGGTTGAAGCACATACGCAGAAGGCTGCCTTTGTAACACTCAAGTACAGAAGCGTCACTGTGCAAATGTTAGCAGGTGAGTGGCAAAAATTCAGTGGTATTTTGCAGTGATCAGTTTAGTTGAAGCATGTGGAATAGATTAAGACTGAGAATGGAAGAGATAAGAGAATGTTAAAATAATTTAGGAACAAAGACAGCCTGAATTAAAATAGGTAGTATTTGGTCCCTGATTATACAAGGAGTCAGAATCAAAGGTTTAGCACAAGAGTTGTGTTATGGCTTGTGTCTAGATGTCCCCCCAAATCCTCATGCAGTCATAGGTGGGGATTTTTCAGAGGTGGCTGAATACAGAGTGTGTAACTGATTCATGGTGCAATGCTAGAATTGAGATACAAGGGTTAAGGGTGGGTGATTACTACTTACTCTACTGATTGGTTTGGCACTGCTCTAATCTCAGTAGACTGTACACAACATGAGGGACAGAAAGAGGCTTGTCTTCTCTCTTGCTCACTTTGCTAACTTTTGCCCACAATGAACTATTTCTCCTCTGCAGTGCCTGTCTGCCATGCCACCCTGCCTTGGAGCCAGGTGATTATAGACCGAAATCTTTACAAACTGTGAGCCAAATAAACTTTTCCTCCTTTAGCTTTGGTTGCCATGTATTTTGTCTCACTGAGAGGGAAGTGACTAAGACAGGTTGGCAAACCCTTCTGCAAAGGGACAGAGAGTATTTAAAACTTATCAGGCCAGGCCCTGTTAGTTGCAGATGTCCTGTTTTGCTCCCCAGTGAATGTAGCTGCTGGTATGGCAATGTGAACAGTAGGGCTACACTCCGCAGAAGTGACCGCATGCATCTACCTGCAGCAGCAGTTGTCGGGTGCCTATTGCCAAGATCAGAGAAAATGAGACACTCCTTTCTCAAGAGGAGAAAACGCAATATTTTGATTTTCCCATTTGGAAGCACTAAGGGGGAAATTCCAGGGGAAACATCCTGAAGCCTCTGGGAAGTTCACATTGGATTTTGGCTGAGCGAACTTGCATAGATTCAGATTTGGGTGTCATCACAGTTTACATAGAACACAGGTGCAGCTTTAGAGTCAAACCGGTGACACAGAAGCCAGCAGTGAGCTGAGGCAGGCAGTTGGTTACAGCAGTGATAAGGGAGCTCAGAAGACCAAGAAGGCAATGCAGCAGGGAAGGACTGTGCAGGTTGTGCAGGAGCTCGGTGTTGCTCTTAGAGCTCCAGCGCCTGGGACAGGAATGGTCTTCAGAGGGCCAGAGCTCTTTCCCATCCCCTTTGCAATGGAATATTCCTCTTCTTTTCTTCCAGAGGCAAAGCTTGAAGGCTTGGTCCACTTCATCTTCCCACTGAAGGAGGGCTGGCCTTGTGACTTGTGCTGGTCCATAGAACATGTGACTGTGACACTCTGGCCACTCTAGGTAAGAGGCCCATAGCTCCTGGCTGGCCCTCATGAAAACTCCAAGCCACCATGCTGAAAAGAAGCTGCATCTAGGCTGCTGGAAGACTGGAGTCCCGTGGCACGCACCCGCCCAGCCCCCAGGGCCAGTTGCCACTTGAATGAAGCCATCTTAAACATCCACCTCCAATGGGGACAGAAGAGCTGGCTCCCCAGTGGAGAAAGGGAAGGAGAGAAACACCCGACTTTCTCCATCCTTATCTCTAGCCTTGCTTTGGCACCTTCAGCTAGGGTCTCCACGTGGCCAAACCTAATGGAGCCAGCAGGTAGCAGTCCCAGGGAAGCGCAGCCGGAAGGAGAAGACCAGGACACAGCCGGTCACATGGAGCACAGCGCCCTCACAGGTGAGAGGGAGTGGGAAGTGGAGGAAAGAGGAGCTGAGACCTCGGGTGACCACCGGGAGGATACGCATGGAGAAGCAGAGTGAATGCAACTGGAGGTTGGAGTGGTCACCATGCAGTGAAACAGGGAGAATTCTGGTGAAGAAGGGGAGGTCTGACTAAGGATGTGAAATCATGCACAGACTGCGAAGATGGTGCCGGACAAACAAGACCATTTGACTGGGTAAGATGCAGTATTCAGTGACCCGAGAGTGGCCCGCAAAGATAGAGGAATGTTTCCTTCCCAGACTGTGGAATTCTGAATATCCTCAGCAGCATGTGGAAATGTTGCAGGGGATTTCCCCATGAAAAATAGCAATAGGATCTGTTTTGATTTCTAGTGTGCCTAAACTATTCTGTATTTTTAGATGTCACATCGCTACAATTTTTTTACCAAGGCAATCCATCCCCATTAAAAGAACCTAGAGATCCATAAAAATGTTTAATTTCTGTTTTTAAAATGTTTACATTAAATGGTGATACAATCAGTTTTTCCTCTTATAGCTTCCACTTTGAGTCTTTATATGGCATAGCTGTGCACACCAGTTATTTGATAAAGATGATGACATTCATGATATAGTCACTCAGTTGAATATCTCTCTACCCCTGGTGTTGATTTTGACTGTGATAGCACAAGATTTTTTTTTTTTTATTCCTAAGCATCTTTGAAGTTTAATTTACATCCATGGAGGACCTTTGATAAAGAGAGAAAACAAAATGAACACTATAATTTAATACAAGTTAAGGGTGTAAAAACAACATTTCTGCTCATTGGCATCAGATTGCCCTCTAGTATTTTTTGAAGATCTGTTAATACATTGTGATTTTAACACAGCACACAACATCTTAATTAAAAATAACCTCTACCTATTTGGTGACATCTTTAGAGAAATACTGCCTCAAATATTTTGTGTATCTTATTAAAAATGTAAATACTGCATAGTTCCACTTAAAAGGATCTTGAAAAGTCCACTCTAAACTTGATGATAGGATGGAGGTTAGTGGTTTGGGGACCAGGGGTGGGTGGGGATGAAGCACAGAGGTTCCAGGCTGATGAGACTGTGATGTCTCCATGGGGGACAGGTGACACTGGTAAATAAAGTGAGCTCTACGCTTAAGATGCATAAGTTACACTGAATGCAACTGCATGCACGCGATCACAACACAGATGACAAATGTATCCATTTCATTTAAAAACTCAGCTTATTTTAAAAAAAATATTCAATTCAACAACTTCAAATATGTGGTCCCAAATGCAGATTTCTGTCAAGAAGCCCCAGGCCCACAGGGAGGCCGTCAGGTTTCTAGGCACTGAGGCCTTGGAGGTGTCACCTGGGTCCCGCAGGGAGCATCCCTGCCTTTGTCCCTAGGTGCCAGTGCCCTCCTGCCCACTTGGTGACCGTGTCTCCTTGGCCCCTAAACCAGCTCTTGTGAAATGTGTTGTCATTGCATTTTATTTGTTGCCAAGCAAACTTTGCGTGTTCTTATTTTTCATGCTGGTCTGATTTACCTGGCTTCTGGGGTGTGAGGGTTGAGACTTGTCACTTCTTCAGGAGTGTCAGCCATGCTGTCCTGGGGGCTCCTGTCCCTCAGGCTTCTCCTCCTGACACAGTGGCTGGCGAGGTGCAGGTTAGACTCCATCCTCGCTCTATCCTCGCTCTATTCCCTGCACCCTTTAACCTCTTATTCCTGCTCCCCCTTATCTCCTGCGCCCCCTTTCCCACAAACTCTGGAATTCCCTCTGTGGTTATTTTAACCTGTGGTGGCTTCTCCTTCTAGTTTCAGGAATTATTATTTTTCCTTCAGGTCCTATTT